CTCAAATATTAACATGCCCTGTATTTGAGGCAGGAGGGCAGCGATTTTACCATGTTTTAAATTTCAAAACAGTGAAGCAGCTAAAAGAGGCTGTAACAACCTATGGTCCTCAAGCACCCTTCACTGTAAGCATGGTCGAATCCATTAACAACCTGAACATGACGCCAGCAGATTGGGCTAATATGTGTAAAGCTGTGCTAAATGGAGGACAATACCTGTTATGGAAGGTTGCCAATGAGGAATTTTGCAAGGAGATGGCTAGGCGAAATGCAGCAGCTGGTTATCCTCAGAGAAATCTAGATATGTTGTTAGGAAAGGGACCTTATGAGGATCAGCAGCAACAAATTGCATATGATCCTGGTGTATATGCACACATTGCTGTAGATGCAATTAAGGCATGGAAGACTTTACAAGGACATGGAGGTTTACAAGGTCAATTATCTAAGGTAATACAAGGAGCTAATGAACCTTATGCTGAATTTGTAGATAGGCTTATTCAAACAGCTACCAGAGTTTTTGGGAATACAGAACAAGCAATGCCATTACTAAAACACCTGGCTTATGAGCAAGCGAATCATTGGTGCAGAGATATCATTAGACCATGGAAACATGAAGATTTAAACACATATATTAAATTATGTAGAGACATTAATGAACAAGAGCAAGTTGTGGCAGCTGCAGTAAAACAGGCTTTAGATGCCAGAGACATTAATGAACAAGGGCAAATTGTGGCAGCTGCAGTAAAACAGGCTTTAGATGCCAGGCCAAGAACATGCCACAATTGTGAACAAACAGGACATTTTAAAAGGAATTGCCCCATTGGAGGAGGGTTTAACAAAACTAGGTATCAAAGGAGTAGAATACCAGGTATTTGCCCACGATGCCGTAGAGGGAGACATTGGGCTAATGAATGCCGTTCTCAAACCACCATAGAGGGTACTCCATTATCAAAAAACGAACAAGGACCAGGTGTTTATCCACGATATCATGGAGAAAGGCATCGGGCTCCATTGCCAAAAAATGGACAGGGGGGCCCAATGCTCCGGGGCCCAAAACCACAAATATACGGAGCACTGGAGGAACCCAGCAACCCCATCAGGGTGGTGCCCAGGACACATTGTCCATCAGATCCCTCATCAGACAAACCAGAGGGAGCGCAGGGTTGGACATCTGCGCCTCCGCCAGAGTAGTACTAACTCCAGAGATGGGAGTTCAAATCATTCCCACAGGGGTGAAAGGACCTCTTCCCAAAGGAACAGTAGGCTTATTATTGGGACGCAGCTCTTCTACTCTAAAAGGACTTATGATAAGTCCTGGGGTAATTGATCCCGATTATGAAGGTGAAATAAAAATTATAGCCAGTTCTCCAAAGGGTATATCAGTAATTTCACCAGGAGATAGAATAGCACAGTTACTAATAATACCCAGCCTGCATGATAAATTTTCCAGTCGTACTGTAGAAAGAGGTTCCAAGGGATTAGGCTCCACAGGTGTAGATTGGGCTATGCTTTCTTTAAATTTAGATTCTCGCCCCATGCTAAAACTAAATATTCAAGGACATGAATTTAATGGGCTACTGGATACAGGTGCAGACCTTAGCATCATCTCTCATCAAGAATGGCCAAAACATTGGCCATTACAACAAGCCACTCAAACGCTTCGAGGCCTAGGAGTGGCGACTAATCCCCATAGAAGTGCAATGGTATTAGATTGGAAGGATCCTGAAGGATGTGAAGGAACTATACAGCCATATGTATTGGATCATCTTCCCGTAAATTCATGGGGACGAGATGTCCTAGATCAATTAGGTTTGACATTAACAAATAACATCAACCAAAATGCACCCACTATTATGACTAGACAAGGTTTTAGGAAAGGAAAAAGATTAGAAAAACAAGAACAAGGTATAGCAGCACCAATACAAATAGATCAAGGAACAGACAGACATGGGTTGGATTTTCAGAAAGGGCCACTGAGACAATAAAAATTACTTGGAAATCAGAAAGACCAGTATGGGTTCCTCAGTGGCCCCTGACTAAAGAAAAGATACAAGCAGCCCATGACCTGGTCAAACAACAATTAGCAGAAGGACATATACAACCTTCTGTATCTCCCCATAATACTCCCATTTTTGTCATCAAAAAGAAATCTGGTAAATGGAGATTATTGCAAGATTTAAGAGCCATTAATAATGAGATGGTTATTATGGGACCTGCTCAATCAGGGATTCCTCAGTTGTCTGCTTTGCCAAAAACCTGGTATGTTTTAGTTATAGATATTAAAGATTGTTTTTTTTCAATTCCAATTCATCCTGAGGATAGTCCACGTTTTGCATTTACTATCCCTGCACTGAATCATGAAGGTCCTGATCAGAGATATGAATGGAAAGTACTCCCTCAAGGGATGGCTAACAGCCCAACTATGTGTCAAATTTATGTTAACAAAGTAATCCAGTCACTTAGAAATCAAAATCCTGAACTACAAATATTTCACTATATGGATGATGTATTATTAGCACACAAAGATAAAAACACATTGCTAGAATGTTATGCCACACTTACAAACTTATTAAAAAATTATAATCTAGAGATAGCAATAGATAAAGTACAATTAAATTTTCCAATTAATTATTTAGGAGTTCTATTATCCTCAACCATGGTCCGTCCACCAAAAATTCAAATACGCGTAGATCAACTCAAATCACTTAATGACTTTCAAAAGTTGTTAGGAGACATAAATTGGATAAGGCCTTATTTAGGTATACCAACAGGAGAGTTGGGACCTTTATTTGATATCCTAAAAGGTCCATCAGATCCAAATTCACCCCGAATGTTAACGCCTGAAGCAAGAAAGGCATTAAAAATCATTGAAACATATATGGAAAATATGCATTTGGATAGAATTGATATAAGTTTGCCTTTATTATTTATTGTACTACCAACAAAAAATATTCCTACAGGAGTATTTTGGCAAGAAGGTCCATTATTATGGATACATTTATCTTATTCTCCTAACACTATTCTTACTAGGTATCCTGAGGCTGTAGGACAATTAATACTCAAAGGAATAAAAGCAGCAAAGGGAGTGTTTGGAATTTCTCCCAATAAATAATTTCTTAGTGCTGTGGTACAATTTTTCCAAAAGGAGCCATCAATTGGCTTGGTGTATCTTCCTCCCTTCTGCTTGTCATGATCGTCCAGCTAAAATTTGGGGGCCAACAGAGGTGAGGCAAAGAACCTCACCCCCCCGCTGGTACAAAGACCTCTCCACAGGTGTGGCTGTATACTGGACCGGTAGTCAGTGACGGGTAAGATCCAATTGCAATGGTACCAACCTAAGGACCATATGTACTATTGGACAACCTAAGGCAGGCACGGTCCCTAAGCCACATGCTTGTTGTTTAAACAGAGAGGGGGAGGGGCCAAAGATAACTGGCTTTGGCCTTAACACAAAAACCACCCATTATGTTGCTGCCTGGACACAAAGACAAGATCAAGACACTGGATCTTACCATGACTAAGTTAACTTTGGCAATGGGAAGAGAGCAGAACCAAGTACCCAAGCCCTTGTGGACCCTGAGGGACCATCTCCTCCTCTAAAACTCTCTATCCCATTGTCAGTTCCATTTTTTTGTCTTGGTGGTTAATTTTCATGATAGGTGTTTTTCTTGTCATTTTTGGAAAAATTACAGGATGCAATGACCAAAAAGACAATAAAGGATTAGATGGTAAGTGGTTATCAAATGAAACATTAGATTTGCACATGATTATTGCCCAAGTATTTAACTCATTAGCTAACTCATCAATTTGATTCATAGTATATGGAGTAATAATTTTATTGGGAGAAATTCCAAACACTCCCTTTGCTGCTTTTATTCCTTTGAGTATTAATTGTGGAAGTATTAACTTTATTCCTTTGAGTATTAACTGTGGAAGCTTCAATCATACCACTCCAAATCCATCATCAAGACCACAGCTTTAGCCTACACTTTACTGTACTGCCACCAACAGGAATAATTGTTTTCATCTACAACAGATTCAAGGGAACTTTTCAAGGCAAAAAGGTTAAATGTCCCTTTACTATCCTGATTATATTGTATAGACAATAGAGTGACCCACTATATTCCTTTCAAGAATTCTAAAATTCCCAACTCTAACACAAGGAGAAATCAATGGTAAGTGGTTGTGTATAAGAACATCTTGATAAGAAACATTTTTATAAGAAAACCCTCAGGCAGGAGCTTGCAGAAGAATGCAATGAGGAATTCTGATGCTTGCACCAAGTGCACGGAGTCTCCATGTACGAAAGAGCTAGAAACACAGGCTCATTTACGTGTACTGAACTGATGATGGCTACCAGGGGCAGCCCTAACATGAAGGAAAGACATTCCAAACACAGTAAATCTTGAAGTTCCCACCAAAACAGATTACACCTTCCATGACTTTCCTGGCAATTTCATTCCTGGGAACTCTGGAGAATAGTGAAAGTGTCCCCAAAGCATCCGATATTTATTTCCCTTGGTTGCTGGTGCTTCTGTGCGTGCTCTTCAAACTAAATGGAAAAGAAAAGATGTGGCCAGCCCCACAACACGCACAGCTCTAGCGGAATTGTGGACAGCAGACAGGAAGTGCGGCCCGAGTCTGCAGGCCAGCGGCCTGCAGGCCTGGGCCTGGGCCTGGGGTGCATAGGAGCGTGCATGCGTCCTAACAGCCACTCCTTGATCTTGGCCCCTCAGGTCCACTTCCGGCAGACCGAGCACCCAACACGGCACAGACGGTGGCACAAACAGGTACAGGTCTTTTCAGAAATTTCTGGGTGTTTTCTGTAATGCCCCCAGGGGGGTGGGTTTCTTGGTGAACCTGTTGAATGAAGGCTGTTGGCTTCAGGGTGGACTGTAGAGTTTGCAGGACCCAGAGTGATAACTGCCCACACGATTTCCACCTCCCTCCACCAATGCACGTACGTTTCTTCCTCTTTTAGGGCTCCTATTTTATTTTAAAATGCAGCGATCTTTAGAACAAGCTTTGGATCGTGCAGAGGATGTCATTGAAAGTGCCCAACAGAGACCCCCTAAGAGAAAATACTCATCTAGTGGGGAGAAATCTCTACATCAAAAACTTTATGACATTTATGTAGAAGAATGTGAAAAAGAGCCCGAGGGGACGGAGGAACTCAGGAGCAATGTCAACTTGCTGGAAAAGCTGGTTAGGAGAGAGTCCTTGCCATGCTTAGTAGTCAACTTGTACCCGGGAAATAAGGGCTATTCTCTGATGCTGGAGGACAAAAGTGAGTTCTTTTCAGAGACCATCCAGCTGCCTTATGGAGAAGGGGAACTGCTTGAGTACTTGGATGCAGAAGAATTACCACCTATTCTGCTGGATGTCCTAGAAAAATCGCAGCTGAACATTTTTCATTGTGGGTGTGTCATAGCAGAAATCCGTGACTACAGACAGTGCAGTGACATGGAACCTTCCACTTACCAAAGCCGGCATATTCTCTTGCGCCCCACCATGCAGACTTTAGCATGTGATATAGAGTCCATGACGAGTGATGACCTCCAATGGACTCAGGAAGACAAACTTGCCCTTGAGAGTGAACTGCTCTTAGCTACAGCTGAACCATTGTGTCTTGATCCCTCTGTGGCTGTCACCTGCACTGCTAACAGGCTACTGTATAACAAGCAGAAGATGAATACTAACCCAATGAAACGGTGCCTGAAGAGGTATTCATGGTCCTCTCTGAATCGGCAGCAAGAGCTGTCACAACATCAGTCTCCCCCTGATGCAAGACTATTGACTGCTTGCAAAAAAGAGGAAGAGAGAAAAGCAGATCTGAAGCAAGACCTAAGGATGCCTCCAGTTGGATATTGTGTGGACATGTGGAAAGAGAGATGCTCTGACTTGGCCATACCTCCTCAAGTGGATGTGGAGAAATATGCTAAAGTGAAGGAGTCTTTGGGATCTGATGACCCACAAGCAACAGTCTGGCCAGATCCTGAGCTAGGAGATGACTTTGGATTTGAGTGTGACAGTGGCAATCAGCTGTGGGAAACGAAGCTGAGCTTCATGCAGTCACTCAATGATCCGCTTTTCTCTGGCAAAACTGCATCACCTAAACAGGGCCCATGTGAGATCCAGATGTATCCCCCCCTGGTCTCCCCAGCTGACCATTCACATGGCTTCGTGGAAGGGTCAAAGATTGATGCAGGGCCAGTGAATGTGTGCCAGGAGTCAGTCCAGAGCAAAGTCGAATGTGCAGGCAAGATGCCCCACGGCTCCAGTGGCTCAGCCCTTCTCAGGCAACCCTCTCCAGGGAAAAAGCCAAAGCAGCCTACCACCAGATGGGTGCAGTCCTCAGTACGAGGCAAGGCATCGAAACCTCGAGCTCTGGCTGTGACTCTTCCCTCCAGCGCAGGACAGACATTGTCAGGTAACAGTCCTCCTGCACAGCAGGCAAGCAGCTTGCACAGATTCCCACCTCTTGCCCCAGCTCCTAAGCGATGTGGCCTTTATCAGAAGTCTCCTTTAGGTGTCAGCAGAGGAGGAGTAGTGCTTTATCCAGCCACCCGGCCCCCTGCCAGCTTGTCAGAAGGAACCCTGACCACCCGGGGCCCAGTGGGCTCCACTGGCCTAAAGGTCATCAATGTGGTGGGCCCAGTTCAGGGAGCCCAGGTTTTGGTGAGTGGTTCCAACCCTGTGCTGAGCAATTCCACCAGTGCCTATGTACCTATAAGCATGCATCCCAAGGGCCTTCTGCCCCCCAGAGGTCAACTGTGCAATGCACAGCCATGTCCAACACAGTCACCTGCTCAAGCAGGTGTGCAACTGATTTTAAATAACACTTCGGGTCCTGTAACTGTCTTCCAGCTTCCACCTGGTTCCATCATTTTGAACCCCCAGCAGCAGCAGCCCCAGCAGCCCCAGCCCCTGCCCCAGCCCCTGCCCCAGCCCCAACTTTACCAGTTGGTTCCACAGCAACAGCTTCAGCAACCCACAACTGCTCCTCCTCCACAGGCAGGGCCACAGGCTTCTGTGCCAGATTCAGGTGGTCAACAGTGGACCTTGCTGGCCCCACAAGCTGTTGTCACTAACCTAGCTCAAGGCAACAGTGTTCTGCAGCCCCAGTCAGCTATGTTGTGTCAGCTTGGCTCTGGTCAGCAAACACCTAGGCAGTGCCTTCCTCCACAGAGATTCCAGCTCTCCCCTGCCCCTCAAGGGCAGCTCCAGCCCCAGCCACTGCCACAATGTCTACAGCTGAGACTGGTGCAGTGCCCCATGTCTGTGCCCACAGCACCCACTCTGACAGCTCAGCCACTTGGGTTTGGGCACACAGCAGGTCAGGCAAAAGATAAAATGAAGAGTCGCACCCCAAAGTTCTGAGTCTTGCCTTGGTTTACTTCTCTTTTTAAAAACACACCAGCATTGAGCCAAATCAATTCCAAGCTTTCACTTCATCTGTGGTATTTTTAATGTGTCAGTATTTGGCATTTTAGAGTATAAGCTTTAGGGCAAAGCACAATCCCTTGATTTTTGCATAGAAACAGGGATGGATTTAAGAGGAGATTGTCTTAAGTTATTCTTTTAATTGTTGTTGACATGATTATTTTTATTCTATTTTTATGATTATTTAATTCTATTTTTAATGTGTGCCCAAATCCAAACTAGGTGCAGTTGAAACTCTTGAAGCTTATAATCTCTCTGAATGAGAAAGTTACAGTCAGAATATACCTCGAGTTAACATTTTAGAAAATGGCTGGTTTTTACATTTTTTTGTGTGAAAAAAATAGAACACAGCTTACTCTCTTAACATTTTTAAGTGTGCTTTTTACTGTGATATTAAGAACATTTCACGTGGTTGTGCCACAGAACTCTAGAAGATCCTCATCTTGCAGAAATTAAACTCTGCACTACCTAACACCAGCTCTTGATTTCCTCACCCCAGCCCCAGGTGGTTCTGTCTCTAAGAATTTGAGTACTGAGAGGACCTCATGTAAGAGACATCATACCATGTTCATCATTTTGAGACTGGCTTAATTCACTATTATAATGTCCTTTAGTTTCATCCATATTGTCCCATGTGACAGGAAGCTCTTTGCTTTTAAAAAAGAGTTTTCTTGGACATAATATGTAGAGAAGTAACATAGGAGAAACTTCTTTTAGAAAATTGTAGTTGGTACTTGTTTAAGATGTTTTGCACAATGTATGAGATATAATTGTTACAAATCCAGGTTGAAGAAATAAAGTCAAAAGAAATTACAACAAACCAAAGTTTGAGTCCACCAGAGGCCTTCAGGCCATTGACTGTCTTGGTGGCAGATTTGCTTGTGTGACAGCCCCCAGCCCTTTCAAAGGCTCTCCTTGCACTCAGTGCCCCCCTGCCTTGCAAAGCCCAGCTCCCCTCCTACAGGCCCTGTCAGTGGTCTTGAAAAGGCACTTCTGGGACATCTTGTTGTCTCTGTCTTTATAAGGTTATTTACATTTTTAGAACACTAGGTTACTTGCAAAGAGGTAAATAAACATTTGAAAATCTGTTTCATTTGTTTGCTTTTCAAATGCCTGAAGCTTTCTCACAAGGTTAATTTGGCCTTCTTTTTTCTTTCTTGTCCTTTCCTTTTATATATTCATCATCAATAGTTCAGGGTTCCCTGCTCCTCTGTTGTTCTACTTTCTTGTTTCAATGGACTGGAAGATCCTTGAACTTTTCTGCCATCTTTTTTTATTTTTTCCTCTTTAAAATTTGAGTTGAACAGGGCTGGGGTTGTGGCTCAGTGGTGAGTGCTTGCCTAGCATGAGTGAGGCACTGGGTTCGATCCCCAGTACCCTATAAAAATTTTTAAAAGAAAACAAATAAAGTGCTTTCTTTAAAAAAAAAATCGAGTTGTTCAGATAACAACCATTTAACCATTTTCAGGTAAAATTCCATGGCATTTAGTACATTTACAGTTTTGTGCCAACCCTCCTCTGCCTGTTTTCAAAACATTTTCAGCATCTCAGAAGAAAACCCTGTACCCATTCATCAGGGCATTGTCTTCCTCCCTAGCCCCAGCTGCTGATAGCCAACAGTTTGTTTTCCATTTCCAGGATTTTAACTGTTCTCAGTATATCCTATAAGTGGAGTCATACAATATGTAGTCTTTTGTGTCTGGCCTCTTTTTATAATAATTTTTATATTATTATAAATTTTTCATGTTTCATTAATGTTTTAATTCTTTTTTTATTTCTCAATAATTTTGCATTGTTTGGTGGGCTGGGGATATAGCTCAGTTGGTAGAGTGCTTGCCTTGTATGCTCAAGCCGTGGGTTCAATCCCCAGCACCACAAAAGAAAACATTGCATTATTTATACATAGCACTTCCTGTTTACCCAATTATCCATTGTTGGACACTTAAGTTGTTTCTACTTTTGACTCTTCTTGATAGTTTTAGTGTCTTATATTTTATTCTATAACACCTTTGAAGGGCAATCTACCTATGTAAAACTTTTTCTAAATACACTTATATGTTTATCTGCCTTTTGCTATCACAAGAAAAAGAAATTTTGATTGACAGTTCTGCTGAAAGTTTGGTGAAGAAACATGTATCCAGTGGTTTTGACTCATTTAATCCATTTATACTAATGTCCTACGATTGCTGTTCAAGAATATTCAAGATTCAGCCAACTTTAAGCAAACACATTGAATTTGCCATCCAAGTGACCATGAGCCCGTTAGAGCATCCTGGACATCATTGGGAATTATGCCTGAACTTTTAAGAACTGAACCAATGCAATGAACAATTGCAAAGAAGAATTTATGTTCAACCTTGGGAGCCAAACAGAGATCTGACACAGAATATCACCAGATTTGCTGTCCTTCTTCCCTTTCTAGCTGGTCCTTTCAAGTACTACAGGAGATACCAGCAGAATCTGTGCTTTAGTAATGTAACCCTCCCTTCCCAGACAGGCAAATAAATTCAGCTTTGTTTTAGATTACCATTTGGCAGTCTTTGTTTATTTCTTTTAAATGATCCCCATCACAGTTGATAATTTGATGCAGTTGCCACAGTGATGAAAAGGAAAATGTGTCAGGCTTAAAATAAAATCCCAGAGTATGTGTTTATTCAAAAAATTCTGTAAGGAGGGTTTCCCACACAGCTCATGTCATTTTAGGCCCTGGGTGAGGTGGCAGAGGATGCAAATACCAAAGAAAAGTAAAAATGCTACCTCAGGAATCTGTATCTCATTTAAACCTCATCTAATTTTATCCTTTAGCAATTTAAGCCAGATTCTCAGTATGATAAAAATCTCAATAAAAGGTAGATGTTATATATATATATATATATATATATATATATATATATATATATATATATCTCAAGATGAATATGCAGTAGAAAAAAATGATAAATAGAAAATGGTTTATTACCCTACCATGAGTTGTAGGTCAGAACACAGACCAAGGAGATGATGAAAATAAGTTTTCAAGAGGAAAGTATCTCTGACCCATGAAGTCCAACTATGTGGATCTGCATAGAGAATTTGTTGTAAGTAATATGTGTAAGAAGCTATTATCTCATTTTAGATTTCTGTTTTGAGAAAAACAGCCATTCTCACTAAGAAACTCCTATTTTTTCAAAGTAGTACAAACATTTTATTTTCCCTCCTGGACGGCTCCCACAGGGGTCTTGTTCCCATTTCTCCCACCTCCCTACTGATAGCAAAATAGTTGTCACAAGTCAACCTACTTAGAAAAAGCCAAGTTCATTCTTACTGGAAAGGGAGAGGACTGTCTTAATAGAGCCTTAGTAATGTTTCAGGTAAATATGCTTTCTGTAAAATCTAATAAAATAATCCTTCATCTCCAAGATTTTAGGATTTCATCTTCCAGAAAGTGTACTTAGTTGTTTAAATTGCATTTGAAAAACACCTAGGCTATAAAATATAGGATTTTCCCCTTCTATTCTCACTATATGCTAGGCACTCTGTTTTACATGTTTTCACTTAGTCCTTGCAAGAACCACACCAATTATAGAAAAAGAAACAAGGCAGTGGGAGCCTAAGTAATTTACTCAAGGTCACCCAGCTGTGAAGTGTCAGAACCCAGATTTGGACCCAAGCCCCCTAGGTTAGAGACCATATTCTTTCCCATACCGACCTCTCTGCTGCCTTGCAAGAGGCAAGACATAGGGGCTGGGGATGTGGCTCAAGCGGTAGCGCGCTCGCCTGGCATGCGTGCGGCCCAGGTTCAATCCTCAGCACCACATACAAAAATGTTGTGCCCACCGAAAACTAAAAAATAAATATTAAAAAATTCTCTCTCTCTCTCTCTCTCTCTCTCTCTCTCACACACACACACACACACACACACACACACACTCTTAAAAAAAAAAGAGGCAAGACATAGGCCTGTCCCAAGTGGGTTCACCATATGTGGGTTGCCAAGACCCACCCCACAACATATGGGGAAAATGACAGATGGCAATCTGTCACTTAGCTATGTGTTGGTGTTTGAACGGAGCTAATAACGGATATCTCTGCTGTAGTTTGAAACCAGCTGAAAGAGCACAAACCAGGAGTCAAACAGCTGGACATCCATATCTTCTCTTTATAAGTGATGCTTACATATTTGAGAACATAGTTCAGATCTGGTTTCCTATTACCATACCGTGGTCTTAGATTCTTCCACTCCCTCACAGGCAGTGTTAGAGAACTACAGGTCTCTCCTAAGGGTCTGGCCCTCCCACTGGAGAGAACTGGGTGGGTGAGAGAGACCCCAAATTTACTTTTAAGAGCTTTTTAACCCCTGGGCAGTAGGCCTCCTTGGCATTTGGTGAAGCCTGTGGAGACTTTCTCAAAACAATGTTTTAAGTGTATAAAATAAAATCCATTACAAAAGAAGTGAATTACACTCACATACAACCTGAAGATATGAGTAAATACATTTATGGTAAAATGTATGTGCTCCTTTATTAATGCATAAAATAATAGAATTTGGCAGTGGGACTAATAAGTAGTCTAATTTTGAAGTAATTATGAGCATAAATGATACTTTGTGATCTCTAAAACAAATGAAATGTCTTATGAAAACATCTACAATTTCTATTTGCTACAGACTCATAG